AAATCAACCTAAGTTATAATCTTGAAGAGTTGCACTATGTATATTTTTTTCTGACCAAAGGGAAAAAAAAAAAGTTGTTGAATAAGGAAGTAAAGTCTCTGCAAGTAGCCCAAGAAGCTTAGAGCTCCAGTGGAAATTTTCCCAGCTACTATCTGGGTTTCTATAGCCTGTATCTTAAGAGCTGGCCTTGCTACAACCCTGTCTCCTCTGAAATCTTTCTAAGTTCCTATTGCCCTCAGAGTTTTTACATCATTTAAAACTTTATAATATCTCTACAAGTTGCTTTCTTCTTGTATTATATGTGCTAGTCTTGTCTCTGAAACCCAATTGTAAGCTCTAATAGAGCAGGGATTATGTCAAATTCTCTGGTGTTTACCACATTGTTGCCATGGCAGAGTGTATATAGCATTTTCTTAATAAATACTCTTTGCCTGAATGACTACAGATCTGATATTAGTCAGGATAGGCCATGCTGTGCTGCAGTAATGCAATAACAAGTTAACCTGGGAATTTCAGTGGCTTCACACAACAAAGGTTTGTTTCCTGTTCATGAAAGGTCCTATGAATTGGCAGGGGCTCGTCTCTATTCAGTAACTAGAGGTCAGGCTTCCTCAGTCTCAGGACTCCACTATGTTAGCATGTGGCCTCTAAGTTTGCTCTATCAGGGAAAGGAAGGGATGGAGGAGACACACTGATTCTTAAGTATCAGACCACTTCTGTTCAAATTTCCATGTATTAGGAATTAGTCCCATGGCCCCAGTCCAGCGACAGGGAAGGCCAGGAAACATAGGGAGCACATGGATATTTGGGAACACATGGATTTTTGGGAGCACATACTCCCATACATCTATGCTCTATCTTCCTGCAAAATAACCATACCCAGTAGTTAGTGCCTCATTAGTATCAGTGGGACTGATAATCACATGGATCATTAAACTTGGCCCAGTTTGTCTTAGTAGCCATATGTGTTAGAGACTGCTAGGATTCAGAATGTATTCATTCAGTAGGCATTTACTGAGCGCCTACTGTGTGCAAGGCACTATTCTAGGTCTCAGGCATACAGCAGGGGCAAAAACTATTCAGAAGTCCCTGCACCCACAGAACTGAATTTCTAGTGGAAGGTGGTAAACAATGAACAAATAATGTACACAGCATGTTAGCTGGTGATAAGTATTGGAGAAAACTAAAGTAGGGAGAGAAATAGGGCATGCATTGTGGAGGGAAGGAGGTTGGACTGTAACTTTAAATAGGTTAATCAGGGAAAGTGTCACTGGAAGGTAACATTGGAGCACAAGCCCAGAGGTGAGAGAGCCAGTCATTTGAATGTCAGGGCAAAGAGCATTCCCCTAAGAGGGGACGTGTGCAAAAACCCCACGGGGCAGGGGAGGGGTATTGAGTGCCTGGTATGTTTGGTGAATGTAAGGAAGCAGGTGAGGTTGCAGCAAGTGTGTGAGGGCGTAGTGGCAGGATTGGGAGTCTGTTGAGTACAAACTACATGGAGCCTTATATTGGGAGTCTGTTGAGTACAAACTACATGGAGCTTTAAGGTCTATGACTTTTGCTCTGCAACATATGAAGCCATTTGGGGGGTTTGAGCAGAGAAGTGACATGATCATTCTGGCCACTCTGTTGGGGATAGACTCTAGGGACAAGGGTAAAGCAAGGAGACCAGTTAGAGGTTATTGCCAAAACACAGGGGAGAGATGGTGGTGGCTTGGACCACTTCCAAAAAGTTGAAGGGACAGCCTTTAAAAAGGAAAAGTGATGTACAAATACAAAATAGTTTTTGCTAATAAGATGTTAGCATACAGCCTAATTGTAATATAATTTATTATTACAAGGAGTCTGATATTCTATTGTTTTATTCATCGGTTCAACAAACAATTATTCAACACTAACTGCCTACCAGGCCCTCTGTTAGGCACTGTAGACAGCAAATAGGACCTAACCTCTGCTTTTTGGAAGCTTATAGTGTGGTAGAATTGTAGAAATTGCTCAAAATATAACATCATGAACAGCAAAAAAACCACAGCAGTAGCAATATAATCAATCACAATCATATGATATAATTAAGATGGAAACATTAGCCAAAACTTATTAACTGTCTACTATGTACTAGGTATACCTACGGATATTATTATGATGCTAATATGTGGTTGTTATAATCATTATATTTTGATGCTATTCCTTATAACCAAATTAGACTGTAATAAAGCTAGATAACTAGTGATCAAAAACCTACTGTAGGGGCCGGCCCGGTGGTGCGCTGCTACAGTGCGCCGCTTGGGAGTGCGGTGGCGCTCCCGCCGAGGGTTCGGATCCCACGTACAGACCGGTTCCCGCTCACTGGCTGAGCGAGGTGCGGGAGCAACACCGAGGGTTGCGATCCCGTTGCCGGTCCCGGTCCGGTACGGGTGCGACACTGAGGGTTGTGATCCCTTGCCGGACACGGAAAAAGACAAAAAGGAAAAAAAAAAAAAAACCTACTGTAACAGACTAAAAGTAATATTTCTGTGCTGTGCAATCCAGCATTACAAGGCTTTTGCCACCCTAGTGCATATCTAAAACTCAGCCCAGAAAATGCATGTTCCATTTTTTCCAAATGTTGCTAAATCAGCCTTGCTGATTTGTCAGCCTATTTAAGTCCTCGTAATTGCATGTTTTTTTTTCTTCTTCTTTTAATTATCTGCTCTGAAGAAGGTTAAGCTGAAACTGCTCCTCAGCATCCAAGATGGTGCCATCCAAATTGCATGCGCTTTTCTGCCTCTGCAGCTGCCTTGCGCTGGTGCATCCTTTTGACTGGCAAGACCTAGATCCTGTTCCCCGTATTAAATCTTCAGGTAAGAGGTATATTTATATGGGGCTTGAGCAACTGACCTGTTGCCAGACTCCAAGTGGCCTCAGAGAAGTTGCATATGTGGACTTTGAAGCAAACCCTATTAAGAAATGCTCATGGAGACCCAGTGTTCTCCTGGGTTAGGGGAGAAGGCCTCACTTTCTCCTTGTTACAACAGAAATTGAAGAAGTGCCTGTGTTCTTCAGTGTCATGACTGCAGGTCAGTACCAGGATGAGACATTTTAAGACCTACTGGAAGCTCAGCTTGCAGTCACCATGGAGAACTTCCCTAATGCCGCCCCTTCTCTTCCTCTCTTCCCAACCCCCTCCCACCCAAGCATGATAACTCACCTGCCCAGGAGTTCAGTCCAAGGCAGCCCCAAAATCTGCTTCCGTGAAGATGAAGAAGAGGCAGGTGTTTTGATCAATAGGCATAGTCCAAAAAAAAAAAAAAAAAATAGGCATAGTCCTGGTTAGTAGTGGAGGGTAGTATGGGAAGATAACAAGTTAGGGTCATGGGATCCAAAAGGAAATAATCTTTTGTACCTAATAATGGGGAGAATGGGAGTCAATTAGATGCTAAGGAGCTCCAGATGAGAATGAGTGATCACTTGCTCTTTCTTACCTTGTGGCAGGAGGGAAGGAAAGGAGAGGAAGGCTTAGACAAACCCAGGAGGAGTGGCCAGAATGAGACAGCCATCTCTAGACAGTACATCTGACGTCACTAAGAAGGAACTTTACTGCAAAGAGATCGTTTCTGGAATTTTGTGAATTCCTGCTCATCCCAGAGGGTTGTGATGCATGAAGTGCTCTGTTTAGTCTCCTACAGAGAAGAGTGTATGTGGCTCTGAATGATGTCATCCTGTCTACACCCACACACCGGTGCACCTGGGTAGATATGGTCACTCTGGATCTAGTTGTTCAGGCTTGATGGGTGACTCCTCCCCATAGCATTTACAAAGAACTTTCATAACTTAGTGCCTTAGAGATCAATTTTGCCCTACTTTCATAATTGGGGAAATGAATGTATTAGTGGGAGAGGGACTACATCTCACATCTACATTTGCATAGGAAATGGAGTAAGATCTCACAGATCCATTCATTCCACAACACTTATCAGGAAATTAAGACATCAAGGATACACTGGTGACTAAGACAAAGAGCATGTAGTCAAATTAAAAAAACCTGCAGCCTAGTTGAAATTAAGTTCATTTTTCCCATTACCTTTTCCATGGATCGAAAACAGGTAACCTCTTACAAGATCGGCAAATTATTTTCTAGAATATAGATCATGCAATTTTTACTGGTACAGGGTGAGAATTTCACAACATGTTTTCTATCCCCTTATGTTTAAAAATCATTGGAAAGCTATCAAATGATGGACAGAAACTTAAAGATAGGGACCTTGCTTTATTCATTTTTGTAGTTCCAGCATTGAGCTCAATGCCCTACTCATTCAAAATGCTCAAAAATGAATGCATAAATATTTTTCAATTAGAAATAGTTTATTAAATAAGAGATTAAAATAACAGTTGATTCTTTATAATTTCTTACTAAGTATATATATAGAAAATATGGCTATTCAGGTAAAAGGTTTATAAGTATGGGCTAGAAATATCCTATTTGCTAATGAAGGACATAAAGCCATATGAGAGAATCTAATTTTCCAAGCATGTATACAATTCATCTCCAAACCCAAGACTGAATATCAGTAATATCTGACAAATGAACACCACCAAAAATACATAATGAGATTAATAGTATACTATAGATTCCAATCCTCCTATTAAAACAAAATTGGAGAAAAATAGGAAGAGATATTTATAGATTCTGAACCACAAAACTGTATCATCTGTATAGTGAACATTTGAGCTGACCTCTCTCCCCTTCCTTTGTGATGATTTCTGATAGATGGTTACAGCATGGGAAATGACTAAGTTAACTATAGGCTGCTGAGACTTTTCTGTAGCCATCCTAGCACTGGGCAGCCAGAGGACTCTAGAGACCCATGCCAAAACCTTGATAATTTCAGCATTTCCTGAGACCTTTTCAGGGGTCAGGTGTTCTGGAATAGGCAGACCTAAGGCCTCACCTTGACCTGTGTCTCCTGAATGCTGGCTCCAGAATGCTGTCAGGTAGAGCAGATTTTTGACAACCAGGGCACTCCTAGGTTAATGGAAAATATTCTCAGGGCCTCAGTGGAATTGAGGTCTCACAAGGGAAGCCTTGTGCAGAGTGGAACCCTCCTGTGGCTCTAAAACTGAACCCCTAATTCTAGAGGTAGTGTCTTCAAGGCAGCTATGGGTTCTCTGGAGCTCCCCATCAAACTGTGTGAGCCAGAGGTCTCCCCCACCAACCCCTGTATAGCCAGGCCATGGCTATCTGTGGGTGGGGGCACAGCAACTGGGGCAGGCTGTTCATCACAGGACAGGCAGGTGTGGCCCACCCTACCGACCTCTGGAGTTGACGTCTCCCTGTTAAGCCAGGAAGCATGGCTCAGTAGATAGTCTTTAGTGGGAGAGGAAGAGCCTTTATAATTCTAAATAGACCCTGAAATGTTCACCTTACAGGTAAAGTGGGAAAAAAAGGCTCTGAGGAAATGCCTTGAAGTTTAGATCTGCCAGAAGGAAAGTGGTATGCACCAGTTTAGATCTGCTGAAGCTCCTCTAAGGACATCACCATGAATCTGGCTAATTAACTAACTCTGGAGAAGGGGACAAATAATATTAATCATCCGCCTATAATGTGGCATGTCCTGTTCCAGGTACTTGACCTACGTTATTTCTTCATCCTCACAACTGTCCTATAGCAGGTCAAGTGCTTTTATCCCCACTTTACAATTACAGCTCAGAGAAGGGAGTAAACTGCCCAGGCCAGAGCATCATAGCTTGTAAGAGGTACACCTAGAATCTGAATAGGATCACCTGGATCCAATAGCCAAGGCCATTCATCTCACCACCTCTTTCCTTGGTACTACACCTCCTATATGATATGACTATGGATTGCTGAGTTGTGTGTCAGGCCTGATGGTCTGGTACCTTAGCCTAGTGTTTCTTCAACTTTAATAGGCACACCTTTTCTGACTCAGCAGAATTGAGGTGCAGTCTGAGGACCTGGATTTCCAAGCTCCACGTGGTGCCAGTGATGCTGGTCTGTGGACCGACTTTGATAGCAAGGCCTTATGTATTGAAAGGCTTCACCACTGGCAGGTCCTTCGTGAGTGAGTCTCTAGTGTGGAGGATGTAAATAGCTTTCCTCCCATTATGAAACCTTTCTGGGCAAAGCCCCACAATATTAATGCAGATGCCATACCTAACATAACTCTTGGTATGTCAGAGGCGGAGTGTGATAGAAGACACAGTCTGTCCAGCAGAGTAATCTACTCCCACAGTCCAATGGAGGGGGAGGGATGGGCAAGCTGAATGTATCAAGAAAAGTAAGAGTTTGCATATACTAATGTTTGAACTCAACATCTTGAAATTAAATATGGATTTTATTGGGGTTTGAAAAAGAGGAGAATAAATGAAGCTGCAGGTGTGTGGAAGGGTTTTGGCACCAGAGTGAGAAAAGGAGTTTCAGGAGTGGGTGGTAAAAGACATATATGATAAAGAGTTTGAAAGAAGTATAAGCAAGACCAGAGGCAGTTCAGATTAGTTCGGCTGATTTTCACAAATATTTTTTGAGCACCAACCATGTGCCAGATGCTGTGTTAATGTCAGAGGATACAAAGACATGGATATAGGTCTTGAGAAGTAGTGGGAGACAGTGCACAAACACATAATTTTAATATAATGTGATAGGAAGGATAATTAAAATCATATGTAGGGAATGTTTGTAATACTGAGGATGAAATGATTAAGACTGTCTGGAGGATCATCATCCAAGAAGATGCCATCTGATCAAGGTATTAGAGGTTGAATAGGAGTTTGCCAAGGGGATTTTGAGTGCAGACAATAGCATTTACAAAGGTGCAGAGGCCCCAAACAGCCCAGTGTGTAGCTCAGGAGTGCTGGAGCCCAAGGAAGGGGGGTGAGGGGTACTTACATGGAAGAGGCAGAAGAAGAGTATAAGGCACTGGGCCTCCAGATCACAGGGGGTCTTTCTTACTGTGTCCAGGAACTTGGGATTAATTTGTGCACCTGTGAACCTCAATGCATCTCAGCCCCAGAATGTTGTAATAGGCTGCTTATGTGCCTCAAGTAGCAGTGTATTTACTTAAGAAGGCATGTGTGGATTTAAATACCTCCTAAAAACTGCCTTCCAAAAAAATTCCAATGCATTCCCCCTTCAAGAAAAAACTAAGATAGGAAGCCATTGAAGGATTTCAACAATTGGTGAGATTTGTGCTTTAAATCACTCCAGGAGCCATGTGAAGGATACGTTTGAAGGGGCCAAGATCCAAGATGGATAGGACAGTCAGGAGAGCTGGCAACTGCCTGGTCAAGAGACCATGAGAGTGTAAATAAGACAGTTGAGCTAGAGGGTCAGAGGCATATGGGGGAGATAGTTCTACACTAAAAACAAATATTAGAAATTGAGACTTGGTTGAGTGTAGGGGGTTGGTGAGAAAGGTAGGAGAGTGGGATGATCCCAGATTTCTGACTTGGGATGCAGTAGAGGGAATTCTGGAGTTGCAGGCTGTGTGGTTGGAGGGTGAGGAGGAGGAGTTGGGAGATGGTCATTTAGTTTCATTTTGGGTCACTGGCTTTATTACGGGAAGGACATCAGGCAGAGATGCCCAATGAGAAGCTGTAAGCACAAATCTGAAGTGTGAGATGAAGTTCATACTCAGACAAAACAGACTTGGGAGGTCATCATCATTAACATACTCTGTATGGAAGTAGAAGATGAGGACAAGGCTGCAAGTATCAGGAGAAGGGCTACATCTGCCTCCATCTTTTTACCCTCTAAAACTCCCAAACAATGCTTTGCACACAGCAGGCCCACAATAATTATTTGTGTATTTTACAAGTTAGGTTAAGAAACGAAGGAGGCCACAAACTATGGGCAGTAACTTGATTCCCTTGGCACTCCTTTGCATAATAAAGTCTGGGGTGTAATGGATGACAAATGAGATGATATTTACCTGTTTTTCAGCCTGGGTCAATAAAATACAAGCACTGATGGCTGCTGCAAGCTTTGGCCGAACTAAAATCCCCAGAGGAAATGGATCTTATTCTGTTGGTTGTACAGACCTGATGTTTAATTACACTGATAAGGTAATGCCTTTATTACTACAACTTATCCCTATATTCCAATATTGGCTGTTGCTATGGCCCACTGGAAGGTGTTGAAACTTGACCCTGTCATCCCCTGAGAATGGCTTCATGTGAAGCCTGTTGCTGGTTAAGTCATTCCCTAATTCTTTGCTGTCATCTGATCAATTCATCTATAAACCCATTATTTTTCCCTCCCTTCATGGCTGAAGCCAGGCTGCTCATATTTTCTTTTCACTCAGAAAGCATATTGTTCTCTTCTCTTTCATGACTGTATTCAATCGCCACAGTAGCTTAAAAAGTTCTCTGGACCTCTTTGTGAATAACAGATGTATTTGGGTCCCCACAATTGAATGTGCAAAATAGCTGTTGGAAAATGTTTGAAAAACAACTTGGCTAAAAGTGCATTAATTTTTTCCTCAACAGGGCACCTTCTTGCGTATGTATTATCCATCCCAAGGTGATGACCTCCTTGACACTCTTTGGATCCCCAACAAAGAATATTTTCAGGGTCTTAGTAAATTTCTTGGAACACACTGGCTTATGGGCAAAATTTTGAGCTTGCTCTTTGGTAAGATTTCTGTTGATACTACTTGTTGGCTCTAGAATATAAGAAAACCTTGAAAACAACAAGAATTTCAGGTGGTTAAGGCCAGGGTAGATTTTCTCCCATCTAAACTTCTCCTAAGGTGAGAAAGTGTTTCTTAAAAGCCCAGGCAATCATGAGAGAATGAAGGTTCCCATTCTGTCCACTCTGAATATGACAGGAATGGGTGAAAGTATCAGAATGGCTCCGACATCTTTCTGTGGCTGCTCTTCAGTTTTCCTTCTTGCATACTATGGAGGGAGCAATAATGTGAAAGGAGCAAGTTCACTGGTGTGACCACTGCCCTTCATGCTCTGTGCTACAGGGCTTTCTAAAGTCAGACAAAAAGGGAAAGCAGGTAGAAGCCACCATAACTCTCCAGATCCAAAACAAAGGAGTCAAAGCTAATTTCCTACTCATCATGAATGAAGAAACTACTCATTCCCATCACCAACCTCCACGGGGCCTCTCCATTATGACAATCTGACATGCATTCATCACTTAATTTGTCTACATTACACTAACACAGGCTTTTCCTTCTTTATCTGTTTGACCGGACATTACTGTTGGGCTGATGTTAACTATGTCTTTAAATTTCTCCCTCAAAACTACCTACCCCTTTTTGGGATTCATTTTAAACATCTCATTAGAGTTTTCTTAAAAGCCACTTTATAATAGAAATGATGAAAATACTATAACTACACATCTTTATGGTGCTGAATAACTTATAAATCACTTCCATAGCAATCTTCACGACCACATCTCAATTTTACAGATGAGAAAAATGAAACACAAGTAATTACTAATAATGATAACAATAACAATTGAGAAGTGAAGGAAGACAGTATCTTCCATCTTTTAAGCCCCTTACTATGTGACTGGTAGTGCTTTATGTATATATATTACCTAATTAAATAAAATTCTCACGAACACCCTATGAGATAGGTATCATTTCCTCCATTTTACAGAAGAGGAATCTGAAGCTCAGAGAGTTTGAGGAACTTACCCAAGGCCAATAGCTAGTAAATGGTAGAGCTGCATCCAAAGCCACTCTGAGTATAAAGTCAATGGTCTCTCCACCTTTCTCTGGATCAGTACCAAATCAGAATGAGAGCAGTCTCCAGTTCTCAGATTCTGCCTCTCAGTGTAAAGCTCCTGAGGTTTACTGGGCAGTTTGGTTTCAGAAGATTTCCTTTGAAGTTTTTCCACAACCTGGGAATGGTAATAAGTAGCAGCTTTGCTGAATACACCTGTAAGTAGGAAAACCTCTCACTTTAAGTCTGAGCTGACAGTGAAAACTGATCATTAATGATCCTATGGTCTGAGAAAAGAACACATGGTTCAGGTCTTTGACTGGTGGGTATTTAGTAGTAGACTTTTTTTTATTTAAAGATGACTGGTAAGGGGATCTTAACCCTTGACTTGGTGTTGTCAGCACCATGCTCACCCAGTGAGCTAACCCCGCCATCCCTATATAGGGATCTGAACCTGTGGCCTTGGTGTTATTAGCACCACACTCTCCCGAGTGAGCCACGGGCCGGCCCTTTTAGTAGCAGACTTTTTAATGAATTTACTATTGATTTATAAAAACAGAGATATAGATATAAATGGGTTTTATGCTAAGGAGATGTGAGTCTAACTAGCAACATTCAAGTTAGAGAAAACACTAACTCACTATAATCTCCCATTGTTGTCTAGGTTCAAGGACAACTCCTGCAAACTGGAATGCCCCTCTGAGGACTGGTGAAAAATATCCGCTAATTATTTTTTCTCATGGTCTTGGAGCATTCAGGTAATATTCAAGAGGTTGAAAATTTTAACCTTTAGGGATCATTTTTTTTTTCCAAAAAAGGAATGACAGATTTTGGAATGTCATGCTGGCCCTTGACCTGGATGGGGTTCCTCAAGGATTGGCTGTGGTCTTTTGATCAATCTTAGCCCTGTCTTGTCAAGTAGTTTCCCCTCCATCCAGCTCCTGGGGTTTAGCCTCACAACAAAAGAGAGAGGGTACTGATTTTTTACTTCTTATCCTTCCATATTATATCTACACTCTCAAAGTCATCCTTTGTTAGTTCAGGTCTTCTGAGAAACAGACTCCAAGATTGGATTAGCTGTAAAAGACATTTATTGAGAGAAATACTTCTGAAAGAGGAGAAGGGACAGGAAAAGATGCCTTCAAAACATGATGTTGGTTGAACACCTGGAAAGGAGATGGGGAAGGGAGAAGGACTGGGTAAGAAGAGTCTCAGACTGTAGCACAGGGCTAAGAAAGATTAGGCCAGACCTATGAAGAGAGTGCTTGATACAAAGTTGCTGTTCAAGAATCCTGCATCTCACAGGAATGGACCTGCATTAGCACCCAAGCTGTAAAGTCCCTGGGAGCAGCTCACAGGAAGCTTAGCTTCCACTTGAACATGGTGATAGATCCAGAGGGGCATCACTCGATGGAGTCTTTAGTAAGCATGATATCTGTCTGAGTGCACATTTTCCTGACCATATCCTCTCCACTTTCTTCTACCATCTTCTCAACTGCCTCCCCTTCTTCCAACCTGGCTTTTAGCTGGGAAGAAGTTGGGTAGCACCTGCAATAAAGAAGTATCTTGGGACTTTAATTGTAGCCTAGCTTTTTATTTGATTTCTACGACACTAATGATAGGCAAATTAGAATCCGAGGGCCAAATCCAGCCCAAATAAAGATTTATTGGAACACAGCCACACCCATTCATTCTTTACATTGTCCATGGCTACTTTTGTACTACAACAGCAGAGTTGAGTAGTTGTGACAAAGACTGTATGGCCCACAAAACTAGAAATATTTATTCTCTGGCCTTTAATAGAAGAAGTTTGCTGATCCCTGTACTAGACCATTTCCATCTCCTGAAAAGGTCTTGTATCTTCATCAGTAGAAGACATAGTTTCTAGCCACCTCCGTTTCATTCTCATGGACATTTCCTACTGAATACATGATATGAGAAAAAGATTGTGCAGAATGAAGATGTAGAAGAGGGTATAGGATGCAGTTGCTTAGCACATGATTTTTTAACCACTTCACCCAGTCCCATCATTTAAATAACAGCTAACCTGTGTTACTTACCCTGTTTCAGATGTGGTTATAAGCAATGAAGATGTATTAACTCACTTGATTCTCACCTATGAGGTACCATACTACTATACCATCACCTTTTTACAGATAAGAAACTAAGGCAGAGAAAAGACAAGTGACTCATCCAAGATACATGGAACCAGGATTCAAACTTAGTGGTCAGACTGCAGGTCCTGTTCTCTTAACTACCATACCGTCCTGCATACATTATCTTATCAAAACCTTATAACTATCCTAAAGCAAAGGCTTTATTATCTGCCCCATTTCCAGGTAAGAACAAAAATTCAGTAATTACCTAAAATCATATAGCTAACAAGTGGCAGAGCCAAGATTAAACCCCAAAACTCTCAGAGGCAATATTTGTAATCAGTGCACCAGGATTTCTCAACTGCAGTACTATTGACATCTTAGACCAGACACTTTCTTGTTGTGGAGGATTGTAGTGTGCATTGTAGGAGGTTTAGTAGATTCCCTCTACCACTAGATTCCAGTAGCACCCTCCCCCCAGCTGTGATAATGAAATACCTACAGACATTGTCAAATATCCCCTAAGAGGCAAATCGCTCCCCTTTGAGAACCACAGCTCTCCTTTCTACCCCGGGGCACTACAATAAGGGTGTGGTGCCCTCCATGTTCCCAGTTCTATTAGGGGACCCAGCCTTGTAATCATGACTGGTAGGTGCAATGCTTTCCTCTTTTTTGTTTTGAAGGACAATTTATTCTGCTATTGGCATTGACCTGGCATCTCATGGGTTTATAGTTGCTGCCGTAGAACACAGGTATGTTACCTGATATAGCCGGGCTCTTCAGACAAATACAGGGAATGTTAATGCCCATAACTATGCTTCTAACTTTCATAAAAGGTAATAAAAATGTTAATGGAATTTTCAACTATGATTATATAGTGAGGAAAAGAGATTGAGTTAGATTGCCAAGACTTAAAAAACAACTAACATTTCTGGCGTATTTATTGCATGCCATGTACTAGGCTAAGTGCTTTCATACATTACTTTGTCTAGACTTCATAACCATTCTATGAGATGGTTACTATTATCATTGTTTTAAGGAAGATGAAAATGAAGGTGAGAAAGTATAATTTGCTCAAAGTCACACAGCTAGTAAGTGGCAGCACTGGGATCTGATTCCAGAGAGTGAGTTTTCAACATGGCTGAATTGTGAAGATAGAATGGGTTGAGTTTACCCACAGCTCAACAACAGACAATAAGGTTGTGCGAGGAGGGAGTTAAAGCGTACTGCCCTCCAAATTGAGAAGGTACTTTGAGACCAAAGAAGGAAGCAGGCAGTCCATTCAGAGATAAACAAAGATATTTATTAATGGGGGTGACTTACACATAGGAAAATTGCACACAATGAAGAATCAGACATCAGCAGATGAGAGCTCTGGCTCTCTGCATTTAGGTAAAGGTGTTTTACAGGAAAAACCTCTGTTACTAAAAACAAATTTAAGAAAAGAGGTCAAGAAAAATAGGTTGATAACATCATTCACCAGATGTCTTGTGATCCATGAGGCAGGGGATCTTGTGATATTAGTGCTCAGACTACTGTCTCCACCTGCGTGTTTTACAGGAAAAACCTCTGTTACTAAAAACAAATTTAAGAAAAGAGGTCAAGAAAAATAAGTTGATAACATCATTCACCAGATGTCTTGTGATCCATGAGGCAGGGGATCTTGTGATATTAGTGCTCAGACTACTGTCTCCACCTGCTGTAATAAATCATTCGCTCCCTAAAACCTATGTTCCTTTTACAGCTTGCCCTAAAGTTAAGGTGTAATTAGCTAGCAAAGAAGATAAATGAGGTTAAACAGAAGTCAGCATGGCAGGTGGGGCACAAAAGAGTGTCTTGTTCACCCTCTAAAAAGATCTTTTTCCTAGAACTCCCTTGGGGTTCTCTTTAATGAAATAAAACATGTACAGTGGAATTCAAAAGATCAGAGGGAGGTTGAGTCAAGGATGGAATTAAGGGACATAAGTCAGATGAGGAAGGAAGAGAACATGTAAAAGTAATTAATCTGGTTTACATTATAGAGATGGATCTGCATCTGCAACTTACTATTTCAATGACGAGTCTACTGCAGAAATAGGGAACAAGTCTTGGCTCTACCTTAAAACTGTAAAACAAGAGGACGAGGAGATACCTGTACGAAATGAGCAGGTACATTGCAGTAAGAGGAGAGGTGGCTTGGTGACCTAAAAGCATGTACAAAACAATGACATTCATTAATTTAATTTTACATACAGCAAGCTATGTTCTGAGCTCTCCTGCTTCCCATTCTCAAAAGATCTGTCAGAAGATTCTCTGGGTAATAAAATTCTCTTAATTAAATATCTGGTTCATAGTAAAAACAAAGCAAACACAAAAATCCCAGGAAATGATAGTGAATATTCAGAATTCT